CCACTTAAATAATATCAGGTTTGCACTCTGTAATTCTACTTCTGAATAAATTTCACTGGTATAGAAATCATCATTACACATTAGACTGAACAGGACCTCCTGTACGCAACTGATACGGCTATTCAGACTGCTCTTTTCCGAATGGGCAAAAATTAATTGTTTGAACTGAACACGGAAAATAAAGTATATATTTAGTAATCTTATAAATAGTCTAATTCCTTACGAATAACATACTATTTATATTTAAAAATGGAAGGTGTGGCATTTGCTATAATGCGTCTATATTTTTAAGCTTTTTTATTGCCATTAAAAGGTTTTCTCGAAAAATTCTAGTGCTTTAGTTTTCAGATGATATTTTATAAAAAAAATCGCCACATTATTCAGTTGCATTGAATATAATATTTAAGTTTAGACCAGCAATATTTAGCACCTGTTAAAGAACTACCAAAGGTTGTCGCCTGGAACAATATTTTACAGTTCAATTATAACAAATTCATTTTACTGCATCAATTTCTCCTTTAGTGACATTATAAAATAGAACTGTATTAACTGTTTGAGTTTAATAGTAAAAGGTAGAATCGCTTATTTAGTATTTAGTACCAACTAAAGTTACCTCCTTTTAGAAGTTTTAGGATAACATATAACTTGTGTACTAGTTATCTGCAATTAAGTTTCTATTTTATTTCCAAAACGCTTTACTAATATGAACATTACATCTATTGAAAAACATAAAATTAAGTATCTTCCCTAAGGTTATTTATCACAGCATATCGTCCCTACCATTCCCAAGTATCGAATGTGAAAAATCGGGTTTTTCAGATTCGATACGTTGTCCTTGTATTAAGACTTGATACACCTTGTAGCAAAATATCGAAATTGTAGCTTATTAAGGAACGCGGGAAAATTTTGTTTAAACCATCGAATATGAACATTTTGTCATTTTGTTTTGGTAAAAATATCGAATATACTAGCAAACTGACGAAAATGAAATATTCGATACTTGTGTTTTGTATAAATATAACTAAAGGCATATTTGTACAAAGCAAAATGAAGAATGTATCACATTGATTAGTTTCAGTGTTGTAATTGATACAGTTATTCAATTATATTCTGCAAAACTGTCGAAAATACTAAACATTGTTGACAAGACTAAAACGCATGTGTTTCACAATTGTGTGAATTATTGCTTCCAAGAAGTTCTTTTGGTGAGGCACTTTATCATTTTGTTTTTATCGGTTTCTCATTATCTGATTATTCAGTTAACTGGTATAGCTAAACCAGAGAAACAGTGATTTTGTCAAAAGGAGAATTATTTAAAAAAAAACATTAAAGAATGCTACCTTTATGACTTCGTCCACACAGTGTAATTTTCCCTTCCATCACAAATACCTCAAAAGAAAAATGAAATAATAAGAAATGCAGCGAAATTAAAAGGGATGAAGATAAACAGTCTGCTTTGGAAAATAGGAAAATATTAGCATTTGATTTCGACCTTCAATTTGTTTTGTCAACGCTTAAGTTGCTGCAGGACCTTGTGTTTATGTGAAAACACTTTTTATAATTTGACCATTTCTTATTTAAGAGAAGGGAGCGTAAAGTGTTTCATATAGGATAAAACCGAGGGAAAACGCGGTGGTACTGAAATTGCTACATGTATATTTAAATAATATCATGTCTTACCCTGATATTGAACATGTCAAAAGTGATGTGCAAAAATTGCGGAGGACAACAGAAAAACTTTACTTTTTCTGCCATGTGTCAATATGTTGTTAATTGTCATCCAAATTTAAAAACAATTGAGCAATGGACTCGTACCGGGTCACTCAAAAAGGAATACGATTCTCTCCATTTAAAAATTGAATCTAGCTAAAATTCCCCTGTATAGGTACACACTTGAAGGATGGACACAAATCGTCAGACTTGCACGCACTAAGCCATGCCCGTTTGAAGTGACATACCTACTGCATAACGACTTCTTAGATTTCAACCAAAGAAAGGTGACATTTGCACTAGAAAATAAAATAAAACCAAAGAACAAGCAAAATCAATATGAAAAAGAAAATGAAGTAAAAGATGAAGAGCAAACAAGTAATGGAAATACTAATTTTAAATATAGTGATGGTATATGTACAGTATCGCAAATGAAATAAATTTTGAGACAAATTGGAAACTTTTATCTCTTGAAACCAAACAAAAAAGAGGCAAAGAAAATAGTATAAACGTGTATGTGAACAAAACTTATTACCTAGGCCATACCACCAATATTACCAATATTTACCAACATCTAGTACTGTCAGAGATTGTCTTCCAGAACCTGTGGCAACTGAAGACAACGATAACGTTTAATTCAAAATTTAAAACTTTTAATTTACCATTATTTTACAACAATTGAGAGTCATGACTGAGTACTAGAGGTATCTACAGGACGTGAAGTTTCATAATTAATGTTTTTTACGTTTCTAATTACATTTTTTTCTAGCAATATATAGTTTCATAAAAATAATTTTAACAATTTTTTTAAACATAATTTTCCCATTTTATCCTACAACTTTAATTTTTAATTAAATGATTTGTAATAAACTTGTAAAAACATTAAAATTATTTTAATTTTCCTTCTTTTCAATTAAGAATATAAATGTGTTAAAGTGATAATTAGACCAATATGAACTGTCAAAATGCCACATTTGCAATTTTGAAACATTGCACCAAATTAATGTGTTAAAACTATACCAATATAAACTGACGAAAATGCCACATTCGCAATTTTGAGACATTGTACCCAAACAAATCGTTGATTAACACAAAAAGCAAAGTATCAAATGTGATTTTTTGGAAAGAAAAAAACAGTAAACAGTTTAATTTTTTATCAATATAACAAGGATTAAACATTAAATACAAAAATATAAAAAATTTTCTATTTGTCAAGGCACTGATTTAGGATTCTCTAAAAAATAGTTATCTTGCTCTCCTGAAAAGTACTACTTTTCACATTCGATAGTTGGAAATGGTAGGGACGATATAGTCGCACACACAGAACATCATTTTAGTATCTGCCACGGAACAGAACCAGCATGTCATCTTTTGTTTTATTTTCTCCTGGACAATTATATTATTAACAGTTGTTAACAAACCTATCCAAACTTACTTTAATCTTTTCGAGTCTGTATCCGACTTTTCCTTTATATTTGCGAGCCCATCATTATTTAGTGTACACTGTGGTGGACAAATTCTGCATAGTCTCAGGTGCTCCACATTCTGCATTTCCTTATATTCACAGAGTGCGTCTTTATACCCTTGTATTTAAATAAGTTTTGGTATACAGGGCCAACGCCGGTGCGTATGCGGTTGAGTATCCGAAAGATTCTTCAGTCAAAATACATTCCGTGTAGTGGGTCGGGGTGTAAGGGAAACAATTTAGGGGGTTTGACGCTAATGCTTCCTATAAACTTTTTTCTTGATTTAAACTAGCTGGTTTTCCACAGTTAGTCGAAGTCCTATAACTGGTGTCTTTTGTCTAAGTCTAAGTCCTAAAACTTTTGTATATATTGGGAGGCGCATTGACGGTCATATATTGATAGGAATCAACTGCCCAGTACAGTAGGGGTAAGGGAGTCGATATTGTATAGCCTGTGATTGTTTAACATGTTTCGTTTATTGCATTGGTGACTCGTTCGGTGCTCATATATTTACTTTATAATACGAGGCCTAAATAGTTGACTTTAAGACCTGTGGATATGCACACCATTTGCTTTTTACAAGTTTTCGGAGAAGGTTGTTAAATTTTTGGACAAGTTCTCGTAGCAACCTTTTCTTTTGTACTTTGACAATTACATGTTAGTGAACGGCCTAATACGACTTTAAAATATATGAGTTTGTCAGTATGTTCCAAGTGTTATCTTTCATAATGTTAAGATGGAATGCACATAGTTGGGTTTGGGTATACATAGGGGTTTGGCTTTATTAAGTTGTGTTTGGTGACATCATGATTAAAGCCTTTTTCAATATCTAGTCTATCTTTGCAAAAGTTTCTCCTTTCATAGTGATACCAAGATCGTCAGCGTAAACAAAGCTGAGCTTTATATTGGGGGTCACTCATAGAGGTGTTAAATGGAAAAGAGGAAGATATCTTCCTTAAAGTAGGCCATTTTTCTAGGTTCGCCATCTGCTCTTCTTTTCATTAAGTACAATGTAAAGGCGTCTGTTGTAGAACAATGACCACACGATCTTATGGCTTATCCAAAATATTCCAAATTGAGGCCAAACAATTTTATCAACTGTTTGGATTGTAATAACAGTAGTATGGACGTATTCGTTATCGCCATTAACTTTCTGTTAGGAGCATAAGACTTTGTTTATTAAATTAAACTAATTCGTAGAGATAAGATTTATCGATACCGCTCAGGTAGTTATTTTTTCAAGCATGCTCTCAATTCATCTACTCATCTTCTGTAAGCTTCTTTGGATTTCTTAACGGTACACTATCTCTTATAGGCTAATAAGTAACGTCAAACCAGTCAAAAATTTAAATTATTATCGAGACAAAATGTCACATAGGATGTTTCTTACGTAACTATCTAAAGTGCCAGTTTAAAATAAATTTTACGTGACAAAGCTCAGTGATGTCTACAAGCGTCGTAGCTTGCTTAATATATTGAAGGAAATTGGACCGGATGTTACATAGATAGGGGTCAGGAGTAGAAAAAATATCTTGGAGTTCGAAATAAAGAAAGGTCAACAACGTATGGTGTACTTTTTTATAACGACTTCTTAAAAACTACGGTGTTACTTGCTTCTTTATATTTTAAAAATTATGTTTTTAGTTATGTATTGTAGCTGTATTATTGATTTTTTAAATATACATTAGAAAACTTTTAAGTAACATAAAATAAAAAATAACATTAAAAAAAATAATACTATACTACATAACAATACCATCAGCATATTGAAATGCAAATGGTAAGTGTGTAATTTTGGAGAATATTATTGAAAATAAGACATACCTGGAGGACCAATTGGTCCAGGGAGCCCTGGATCACCTTTTTCTCCTCTTAGACCTGGCATACCATGTTCTATAAAATAAATTAATATTACTAATTATTATGCTAATTTTAATATTGCTAAATTTTTTAAACGTATATTTTTTTAGTGTTAGTATAGGTACCATTATTCAGATTATTTAATTATTTTAATTTTATTTTAAATGTAATATTCTAATTTTAATTTTTTTATTTGTTTTGAGTTTGCCTTTATATTAATTTTGCCTAAGTAAAATTTAATTTTGTAGCACGGTCATATCCTTTCGTATTTACCCTTTTTGTGTATGGTTTTCTTCAATCTTACTCCTCTTAACATTTTCTTTATTGACTTTAGTTAATATTAAGCTGAACAAATTGTACTTATGGTTTACTCTTAAAATTTTGTACCGATATTTAATAAACTCTGAACTTCCAAGGATTAACTTCCTAAATCAACTTAAAACGAATAAATGTCCGGGAGAGGATAAGATTACAGTTGAAATGATGAAAATTTGTGGCAGAAAAATGGAACAGGTATTAAATGTTTTATTTAATAAAGTAATTGATGAAGGAAAAATTCCTCAAGAATGGTACAACTCCGAGGTCATTTTACTATTCAAGAAAGGAAGCAGAGCAAACATCGAGAATAACCGACCAATATCCTTGCTATCACATCTGTATAAATTACTAACTAAAATCATAACCAACCGCCTAACACATAAGCTCGATTTCTATCAACCTATCGAGCAGGCTGGATTCAGAAAACATTTTAATACCATAGACCACTTGCACACCGTAAGAACACTGATAGAAAAATGCACCGAGTATAATGTTCCAATTCATATGGCTTTCGTCGATTTCCATAAAGCATTCGATTTCATCGAATTATGGGCAGTGCTTGAATCTCTAGAAAACATATATAAAAATGCCACCATGCATATAAAGCTGGACGAAAGCACAAAAACTAATCCCATAGACTACAACGGGGAGTAAGACAAGGAGACACCATCTCTCCCAAACTATTTACCCTTGCTCTAGAAGATATTTTTAAGAAACTGGAATAGAACAATGAGGGTATCAACGTCGACGGATCATACTTAAACCACTTGAGAATCGCAGACGACATAGTTTTAATAGCCGATAATATCCAAGAACTAAATGATATGTTACAACAATTAAATGCAGTTTCAGGAGCGGTAGGCTTAAAAATGAATTACAGCAAAACAAAAATACTGAGCCGAGACCAGACAAATATAACAATACAAAATAATACCATAGAAAATGTGGAACATTATGTATATCTAGGTCATGTTATCAAACTAGGAAAACCAAATCAAGATGCTGAAATTAAAAGAAGAACACAACTGGCTTGGGGCGCTTTCGGCAAACTAGCACATATCTTGAAAAACACCTCCATTCCTATAAACTTAAAGAAAAAGGTTTATAACACATGCATACTACCTGTTTGTACCTACGGCTTGGAGACAGTAGCACTTACCAAAAAATCTGCCAAAAAATTAGAAACAACGCAAAGAGCAATGGAACGAATCATGCTTGGAATATCACTAAGAGACAAGATTAGAAACACCGAGATAAGACGTAGAACGAAGATTATGGATATTGTGGAAGAAATTACAAAAATGAAATGGCGCTGGGCATGTCACGTAGCCCGATATAATGACAACAAGTGCACACAGAGAATTCTAGAATGGGGAACAAGGACGACAACAAGAAGCATGGAAGACCTCAAAAAAGATGGGTAGATGACATAAGTGCAGTGGCAGGCAAACAGTGGATTAGATTGGCGCAAGATAGAGAAAGATGGAAGCAATTGGGAGAGACTTACATTCAGGAGTGGATGGAAAATGGTTGACAAACAGAACTTGATTGCAGGTGGTTTCCAATAACATAGTACTATCATCTTTTAGTGCAGAAGTTGAGGGTATCAAACGGTCAATACCGCCACATAATATAAGGTTGGTTAAGTGGTTCAAAAATAAGACAAAAAAAGTGGTACAGTAGACGGTACTTTACGCTAGCGCAAAGCTTCATACTAAATTTTTTGTATTTTTCAAATTTAAATAATGTTTAAAATTATATAAAGTAATTTTATTATTTATTGATTATTATCTTCTATAACATTACAAATTGATGTTCCGGCCTACACCTACGAAACACACCAAATGTCATGAAATGACATGCTGTCATTTTCTGTGCGGGAGTTAACCTATATTCATTGTACTATATGCTTTCGTAAATATAAGATGTAATTTACAAATTACGAGTACATTCATTTCAATCCTGAAGACATCAACCAAGATAGTCAAGATATCTACAAAGTATGTACGGACACAACAATTGGCGAGGAGAACAGTGCGAATTACGTTTATATTTTTTATAAATTACCCCCAGTGCAAAACACCTTGGAAAATGCCAAATAGTATAGATATGCCGATTACCATAAACCAAGGCGGACTAGCTGAGATGGTCCATCATACAGTACAGACCGTATTTTCCATAGAATCGTACGAAGTATCAAAGAAATTCGATAGATGGCTAATGAGGTTGGAAAGTGCATTTAAAGTATTCGGCATCCCACAGGATAAGCAGTCAGCTTACTCACTACATTATGTGGGACCAGAAGCGTACGATATATTCCTCTATATATGGCGTTCATAGATTTCGAAAAGGCTTTCGACAGTGTCGAACATTGGGCAGTAAAAAGTTCTTTGATTAACAGCCGAATTGACCACATATATACGGAACTAATAACCAATATATATAAGGAAGCCAAAACAAAAATTAAAGTATATGAAGGAACAAAATCATTACAAATAAGTAGAGGCGTGACACAGGGTGATACAATATCACCGAAACTTTTCAATCAGGCTCTTGAAGATACTTTTAAAAGATTAGAATGGGAAAAAAAAGGTATAAAAATTTGTGGACAACGCTTGAACCATCTAAGGTACGCTGATGACATCGTATTGATAACCGATAAAAAAGATGAATTATTTGAAATGATGAAAGAACTGGACGTAGAAGCTGGAAAGATAGGCCTTAATATGAATTACAGCAAGACCAAAACTATAACAAATACAGATGAAGACATCACAATGAGAATCGGACAAGATGAAATAGAACAAGTTAAGGATTATATATATATCTTGGTCAAACTATAAAACTTAACAAAGAGAACCAAACAGCAGAGATCAAGAGACGAGTTGGACTGGCATGGGCGGCATTTGGCAAACTAAGCTACACTCTTAAAAACAAAAGATATCCACAGCATCTTAAGACCAAAGTATATAATCAATGCGTACTCCCTGTTCTTACGTATGGCTCCCAAACGTGGACATTTACAAAAGCAAACATGGACAAAATCATAAAAACCCAAAGAGCAATGGAAAGACAAATGTTGCACATAAGACTAATGGATAAGAAGAGAAACGAGTGGATAAGAGAGAAAACAAAAGTGAGGGATGTTAGACAAGAAGTTGCAAAATTGAAATGGAGATTTGCCGGACACAATATAAGACAAAAAGAAGACCGATGGAACAAAATTCTTATAAGTTGGAGACCGTGGGAATATAAACGAAGCAGAGGAAGGCCCCAAATGAGATGGGCAGATAATATCAAAAAGCACGTGGGCTCTAGATGGATGACTGTTGCGACAGACAGAGAAAAATTGAAAAGGATTGGGGAGGCCTATGTCCAAAGATGGACCGAAGAAGGCTAATTAGATAGATAGATAGAAGATATCTCCTCAAATACCAGATGCGACATCATATGATGAAGTAGTGAATATTATGAAAGAGCACTACAATCCAGAGCCCCTAGAAATAGCAGAAATTTTTCGTTTCCTACAGAGAAAACAAATTAAAAGGGAAAGTGTAAAAGATTACCTAACAGTCCTACAAAGATTGGCAATTACTTGCAACTTTGGTGAGTACCAAAATTTACCATTTGGCCTATGTAATGAACGTACACAGAGTAGATTTCTGGAGATAAAAAATCTAACCATTCAACAAATCAAAAATTAAGGCCATGGAAATGAACTACTGGAGACGATGTTGCCAGTTCACTAGACTTGATAGGGTGAGAAGCAAAGCTATTCGGAGAGAAATAAAAATCGATCTAGACACAATAGACACAATCGAAGCCAAAAGACTTAAATGGTATGGACACCTTCAGAGAATGCCGGAAAATAGATGGCCAAAAAAATAGAAGAATGGACTCCACCAACTAGAAGAAAACGAGGTAGACCAAGACGATCCTGGAGGGACGATGTCGACGATGCAATGACCGCCAGAGATCTAATAACTGAAGATTGCTTCGACAGAAAATGCTGGAAATTAGGATGCGAGAAGCGGCGCCAGCTGTAGAAGACTCGTTTGATATATATATATATATATATATATATATATATATATATATATATATATATATATATATATATATATATATATATATATAATATATATATATATATATATATATATGGTGTTAATCACAGCTGATTAAGTTAGAAAATAAACCAAGTTAGACTCTTTGGGTAAAAACAGCTGAACGAATAGGCTAAGTGTACTCTTTAGTCCTTTATTGATCCAATATTTCGTTGATAGTTATCAACATCATCAGGGATAAGCTACAATTAGTTTACATGAAAATTGACAATCTGTTATAAATACGTTGATCTTACTTACGATTTTGAGAATGGTGCCGTAAAAGCTGGTCAAATTTATAAAATTTTGTGAAAAAAATTGTATAAGTTTTTTCTCACAAAAGAAAAACAGAAAAAACATGTAATGTTAAAATTCACTAAGACTGGTATAAAGACAATGCACAATTTCAACTAATTGTGTGTAGGACCGAATGTCCTCTCTCGAGAGTTTTACATCTTATAAATTCTTATTTCTTAATAAACTGTACAGAGTGTCATGTAAAGTGAAACAACGTGGTTGATTGTAGGTTGGAAGACACTATCCTCTAAAATCTTCTTCTCTCTTAGATGGTCAAAGTAGAGGGGAGACTTTAGTGGCCCTTGCCTTATT